AATGACATATTTTTGGGTTTTTGTTATTTTAGGAAATAAATAAAATAATCAAGTTAGTGATAAACCTATTTATTCTAATTGATTTTAATTATTTGCAAAATAAATTAAAGTTATCTAAAATTAATAACCTAATTAAATTTATTTATTTTTTTTACTAAAAACAAATATCCTAAATTTAATTTATGAAAAGTAATATTTTGTGATTTTTTTATAAAAAGAGAAAATAATTTTTGGTTAGTAAAATAAATAAATAAAATAATTAAAATGAAATATAAAAAGAAAAAATAAGAGATGGGCCTGAATTGGGGGTGCCAATAGTCAGAATTATGGGCCCAAATAGAGGTCCACGTTGACCTTTGTGATCTTGTGCAGCACACTGACTTTGGCTCATGATGCACCTTCAGTGGTGGCCCTCAGATTTGGCCATCTGGCCATCTGGCATGATTGATGATGAGGGCGCGTGGTAGTCGCTTGCTTCTTGTACGCACATGATACTGAAACAGAAAATAATATGGAGAAATAGGGGGACCTGGGATTTGAACCCAGGTCCTAAAGCAATATCCATGCCTTCGCTACCACTGCACCACATGTTCCTTGTTGTACATAACACACATAATAATAATAATATATAAAACAAGTAAAATAATAGAAATTCCACGCGAAATTCAAACGGGCGAATCAGGTGAGGCCACGTCTTTTTCCCTGTTCTTGGATCCGTTGGTAAAAGTGAAATACTTTTACCTACGGACGTTCATCCGTAGCTATAGGTAGTGCTCATTCCAAAATCCTCCATGGGCCATGTAAATAACATCTAATGCCATGGTTGGACTCGTCTTGTCCTCCTGAACCTAAAGGTATCATTCATGAAGGCCAATTTTCCCTGCATTCAAAAACCCTAATTCGGAGCTTCGAAACCTAGATATGGTGAAACTTGCTACAGGTCATATAAATGAAATTGAATGATGCAGAAAGCTTGCAAATGTTCCATAGATTAAGAATACATGATTAATTCAACCTAAAAATGCTTAAAACATGAGATTCGAATTCAAGAACAGGGCCATGTCGTGAACGACTTACAAAGCGATTTGGGGCTTGAAATGCTTGGTTCTTGATGCCTTTAGCTTGTTGAGAGTCCCAGGAGTTGATTGGGATCGTTCAAAGGTCCTAAAACTGCCTCCAAATGGAATTTCGATCTCACATTTTTCTTGCTTTTTTTCAGTTTTGGTTCTCCTTCTTACGCCTGTTTCTAACTTGTTTTTAGGTCTGGCTTTGTTCTATATGTACCAAGGAATAAATTAGGGTTCCAAAACTGGTCCAAATCCTTCCCCTTCAATGATTTTTGATTTGATTTGATTCACTTTCAATATCATTCCAAAAATAGAATTTTTCAATCTTTTTGTCCACTCTAATGCCTTGCATGAATTTGAATGATGCTAGCTGTGTAATAAGACCTGAAACAATCACAAAATCTCTTACTTTCAATATTTTGGATTTTATTTGATTTGTTTTGATTTAAATTGAATTAATTTAAATAAAAACCAAAATAAATAATAAAAATAAGATATGGACAAGTGGCAAAGGCTAGAGATCGTGGGATATGTTTCCAACTCAGAACAAGTGAAAAAGATTGAGCCCATTTGGCAAAAATTGAAGTTTTGGGCATAGTTGACTTTTGGCAATTTTGCAAAAAAGGTCAACTTCACCAATGCATAACTTCTTCAATTTTGACTCTTTGGAGGTGTTCTTGGACTTTTTAGAAATCTTGAGATGTCCTCTAAGTAACCCTTTTGGTCTCATCTCATTTTGATATTACATGCTCATGTATGAAGCTTTGACAAAAAAGGTGTTTTTGTTGACTTTCCAAAATGACCTATAATGTCCAAATTCATAACTTCTTGTGAGTGTATATTTTGAACTTGGGAGATGAAGATGAATTGTAGGGAATTTCATCCTCTTCAAAATGAGATTTGGATGGGTCATTTATCATAAAGTATAAGAAAGTTATGCTTGGTCAAAGTTGAGTTGACTTTTCCTGCAAAACCTTAATTTAACAACTTTTGAGTCTTGATGAATTATGAGCAATCCTTGATGAATCATGATCAAACCTTTATAAAATGATAGAATATAATTCAAAATGAGGATGTTGACAAAAAATCTTGAAGTTTGACTGTATGTAGGCCACAGTTGACTTTTGCCCTAGCATAGTCGCTTTTCAGGCTTTTGAGCAATTGACTGGGCAAACTTCCTCTGCAAGACACGAAACTTGACATGGATGATCTTGATAACATATTAGGACATTGGTTAGCACTTGGTATCACTTGGACTCAAGTGTTTTGATGCAACATGAAACCCTAATTTGAGGTAGACTGCCTTAGGAGAGAGCTTGTCTGGCCAACCCTTGGACTACCTTGAGCAACTTGAGAATCTTTCTTGCAATATTTTGAGAAATATGGGAGGGAAAATTTTGGGGTACAACAGATGGAGATTTGAAGTTCTCTAAAACTTGATGGTTCCAGATAGCTTGCGATAGAAGTTAAGGCTCCAGAAGCTCCTCTTCCAGACTGTCATCCTCTACGCTTATTTGTTGTAGGTCTATGACATTGTCCTATAGAGTTTCGTTCTATTGCCCGAGGGCCTCCACCATGGCTAGTAGTTGCACCATGTCTTAGGGATATTCAGGTGATGACATTCTGCATGAGGTAAGTTGAGGTGTGGCCTAGGAATAATTTTACTAAGGCCCCGCGGTGGACACCAATGTTCCTGTGTAGAACAAATATTCGATCGACTTCCCAGAAGGCAACTAGGGAGAGCCTACCAGAGTGAGTTTATGAGATGATTGGGGGATTTGGGAGCTATGGCAGTGATTCGTACGTCCCAAGATGAATTTCTTGCTTATCCCTCTTGCAGGAGCCCCTTTATATAGTGAGTACCTTTGCTTCATCAAGAGCCTCAATTAATGAGTGACTCTTGAGTTCCATAACTGTGTAACCACTGTCGTCTCCATGAATGGGGATAATTAGTACTATGTAATGTAGCAATGAATGCGCCACCGACAGTTACAAGCTTTCATGGACCAAGATGTTGATCGGTCTCGGGCAGGTGCTACCCGGTTATCCACTTCGTCTGAGTCCAGGGTGAGGGCGAGTTGCTACCCAGGTGTATGGGTTGCCTGATACTCCCTTAGCCGAGTTGTTCCCCGGGTACCTTCACATTAAGCCGACTATTAGTTTGTCCTTTTTCTTTGTCGGTTACGCTACCCAGTAGGGTCTGTTATTTTCGGGATGTACAGGTATGCAATTCAATTCCCTAGATGACTTTAGGGAAGCCATTTGTGAGTGGATAATTTTAAATGGAATAGAAATAACTTTTGTGAAAAATCTGGGGTACAGGGTAAGAGTAGTGTGCAAGGCTAATTATGGTTTTTCAATGCTTTGCTCTAGGGTGAGTTAGAAATAAACTTTTTCCGTTAAGACTATAAATAACACCCACACACGTGCTAGGGTTTTAGATAATAGATATGCAAGTTCAAGGTGGGTGGCCAAGCATGTTGTGAAGAAAATGCAAACAACTGATACAATGAGGATCTCTTATATAATACAAGACATGAGACAAAATCATTCAATGGGTATAACTGTGGCTCGAGCATGGAAAGCTAAGTTGATTGCAAAGAAGATGATTGAGGGGGATGCAAAAAATCAATATGTTAATCTGTGGAGGTATGCTGCTGAACTGCAAAGAGTAAATGCGGAGAATAATATGAAGATCAACATTGATAGATCAATCCCAACTATCGAGCAAAAGGTAAGTAGTAACTATTTTTCATTATGACCATATTTTCAAATATTTGTTGTGTTTAAAATTAACTCAATTGTATCACTGTCACAGGGTTTGGTAGCAATATTCGAAGAGATGTTTGAAAGAATTGAGCATAGACTATGTTTGAGACGTTTGTATGCAAACTTCAAGAAAATTTTTAGAGGTAGATCATTGATAAGAGACCTAATGATGGGAGCAGCAAAAACAACTTACCAACAAGAATGGATGCAAAAGATGAATGAACTAAAGCAACTTGATCCAAAGGTTTGGACATGGCTAATGGGAGTACCTCTAAAGTGTTGGTGTAAGCATGCATTTAGTTTTTATCTTAAGTGTGATGTACTGATGCATAACATTATTGAGTCTTTCAATTCTACCATTTTAATAGCTAGAGATAAACCTATACTAATAAAGTGTGAATGGATTAAAAAATATCTGATGAATAGGTGCAGTATTTCTGCCATGAAACTTAAAAAATGACCACACAAGATAATGTCAATTCCTATTTAAAAGAGATCAAATCAAAGATTATCTTAATTCAATTTAAATTACACAATCGATTCCAATCCACTAAATCTCTTGAGATTTTTCCTATCAATAACTTAAAATTTTATACAAATACTCTGTCAATCAACCTATCCTTTTTAATGATTTAGTGTACAACCTACCAATTTATTACAAGAGTACAAGAAAACTAGACACTCTAAATTACCGGACTTAATTTTTTATAATAATAACTAAAATTTAAAATATTTTTTTGTTATAGTTAATTGGTTATAATCGGAGAGAATATTATCTTAATTCTTTCATTGACTCGATAAAGGACTTGAATTTAAAATACAGTACTGATTGGATACATAGGAGTAAATTTGTAATTTATTTAGGATTTATTTATGACGAGAAAACGAAGGGCGAAAATATCCAAAAACATTAGTCTTCTTAAACAGTTGAATTGCGCCCACTTCGTTTTAAAGACCCGAAAAGCGGGAGTGTAAGGATAAAGCTATCCCATACACGATACATCCCATGTCATAACACTTATTCTGAGAGTGAGAGTGCATTAGTATTAAGAGTCATAGTTATGGAGCCTTCACCATCAACCTAACAAAAAAGCACATATAGAGAGAGTGACATAACATAACAGAACCAACCACAACAGTAAAGTTAACGAGAAACAAAGAAAAATGACCAAGACGGCAAGTATAGAGATGGTAACTGATGAGAATCTGGAAAAACATATTCACAAACACATGGGGTGCATGGCTGGTTTCCTTCAAATCTTCGACCGGAATCATATTCTCTCTGGAAAACGCATCTACTCCACCAAAAGACTCCCGCCGGTAAATATTTCTTCTCTTATATCTTCCTTTCGGTTTACATCCAGATATTAATCACCATTGATTTTTTTTTGGTTACAGCCATCGCCGGAAACACCACGGAAAGACGATGGCTCACCGGCGCTATCAGCAACACCGTCTCCGGTTAAAGAGGTCCAATGTGTAGCAAAACCAGTCCTCCCAGTTCTGGAACTCAAAGAAGGTACAAGATCTTCATGGAAATTCTCAAGAGAGGCTCCGAGACTCTCTCTCGATAGCAGAGCAGTGGTTGACGCCAAAGGAGCCCTTCACCCGAGAGAGATCCGAACAAACACAACGGTAAACCCGGAAAACGACGGTGACAAACAGCGTCGTTCCACCAGCAGCGTAATTGTCAGGCTCATGGGTCTTGACTCGTTACCAACGGACTCCGTTGCAAAGCTGCAAAGATCTGCGTCGGAGTCCAGAGTTTCCAGAGATCGGTCCAACAATTACACTCAACGCAGTAATGCCGGCTCGGGCTTGAACCAGATGAATAATCATAATCATAATCATAACAAAACTAATTCTAATGTTGTTAATGTTCATGCTACTAGAAATGCTAATGTTATTAATTCTTATTCTTACGGTACAATCGAAGATAGTCGATTGTGGAACGGTAGAGTTGTTGCAGAGGGAGGTAGAGGGAAACATAATCAAAATAAGGTAACAGTAATGGTACAAAAGAAGAGTTTCTACGACTCTACAGATTTCTTCCCTGAACCGAAGCACAATGTCTCGATCTCCGAAGAGATAGAGAAAAGGTTGAAGATGCGTGGGATTAACCAACCTTCTCAAGATCTCGACACTCTGAAACATATCTTAGAAGCTATGCAGCTCAAAGGCCTTCTTCGTTCCTACAAGTCAAACCAATCTCCCATTGTGTTAATGCACCCTCCCAGATCTTCTCGGTTCGAGCGGTTTGAACGGTTCAATCGGTTCGGTTATGATTCTCCACCTCCGCATTCTTCAGTTCGGTCTAATTCTCCAGCTCGCCGGAACTTAAGTCCTAGACTTTTCGGCGAGTATGACCGGGCTCAAGTTTGTTCGAGAAACTCGAGCCCGAGCCGGAGGAATGCGAATGTCCCGAACATGGAGACGCGGAGGAGAGTTAGTAACAACGAGGGTGTTGATTCTAGAAGAGTGTCTCCTGTTCATTCGCCTAAGATAAGTTCCAGAAGAAATGCAACGGCTCCGATAGTGACAGGTGGATCTCCGAGGATGAAAAAAGTGATTGATCCTAAGGTGAAAATGTTGGGTGTAGCAGAGGATGAATGGTCCAATGTTTCAGATAACAGTTTCACCACTTCCAATTCTCATACCGATTCAGAGGTAATTTTTTTAATTTTATTATTTAATCCTTAATATTATTATTATTTTTCTTAGGCTTTTTTTACTGAAATCTATCTGTTGTTGTTATGCAGAGGTATAAATTGGAAGAGTACAAAGAAGGGAGGAATCTGCTTGATAGATGCGACAAATTGCTGAACAGCATAGCGGAGATAACCGCATCTAACGAGTTACAACCGAGTCCTGTATCAGTTCTTGACCCGTCTGTTTACAAGGACGAGTGGTGTTCACCTTCACCAATTACCAAAAGAAACATTGATTACACTTTCAAAGGTAAAACTCAGAGTCTGTGTTATTCTATTCTTTTTACTATTTATTTTCTCTTTATTTGTCCTATCCTTTATGGAAATTTCAAATCTATTTGGACCAATTATTTTCACCTTAAGGATAATGACGTGGCATTTCCTAGTATTTATTAAAAATTTATTATATTTATGTTATGGTTTGGAATTGTTGCTGATTATGGTGGAAATTGTTGCATTTTAGATCAAGTGGCGGAATTTGAAGATGAAATGTGGAGTGCAGAGGAGGGAAAATCCGAGGAGGAAGCGAAATCAGAGGATTGTGATTTCGTTTATTTTTCTAAGATTCTGCGTGCTTGTAGTTATTATCCAGAAGATTGCGACATTTTTGTTTTACTTGAGAAGCAACAATTTCTGAAGGGGAAGGATACTTCAAAGACTTCTACATTACAGAGACGGTTAATTTTTGACACGCTGCAGGAAATAATTAACCGGAACCAAAGACTACCGCCGTGGAAGGTGGTGTCTCAAGGAGAGGAAACACAAAAGATCTGGTTGGAGTTTCTGAGGATACGAGATAGGGAGGAATCGGAATCGGAGGACTTGTTTAGAGTGATATGTGATGTGTTAAAGAAGGACATGGCAGAGGAGGTGAGTGGTTGGGGTGAATGGACGGTGGAGATGGGAGAGTTGGTTTTGGGCGTCGAACGGATGGTATTCAAAGATCTAATTGACGAAACTATACAACATCTTGCTTCATTTGCACCACAGTGTAACAAACTAGGGGCGCTTCGTAGACAACTTGTATTTTGAATTTTAGCGAGAGAAATAATTGATTGAGGAAAAAAAGTAGAAAGATTTGCATCACTTTGTTTAAATTTGCGCGCGTTCAATTGCTTTGTTTTTTGGTTGCTTTCTAGTGATGTTGCTTTTACTTTCGTTAATGACCATGACAAAATTAGGAATATATTTAGACATATATGTGATTATGACTTTATGCTGATATAAAACCAAGCGTTGGATGATGATTAGTCTACGTTGTTGTTGTTGTTGGGATACAAATGTTGAAATGTTGAAATGCAATGCGTAATATGAGGATCTCAATTATGATGAACAATTTAGTATTAGGAAAATGAACCAACATGTTGTTGCATTAGTATCAATTTTGTTACCAACAAATTGGCTAATCACCAAACTACCCAAAAGATATATATAAGTAAACACTAGCACCAGAGATGCTAGATAATAATCAGTTCAAGAAATTCTGTATCCAAAAACGGTACAACCGTTCCACCTCTACAAAGCATAGCCTCCATCCAATATAAAAGCAGAACCAGAGTAAAACACCAAGAAACAAAACATGACCCCCAGTACAGATACAGCAGAAGATGACTTTAAATTGAGCAGAAGATATTTGCGATCCAGCCTTATAATAATTGATACTGGTTGATATGTAGAGTTATGTGTTGATTGGTATTTGGTGGAGTGGACTTGACCCAATCCAAAACAAAATACTTCTCAAAACTTGCATTCCCTGTGAATACAAACTCTGCAAACTCACCAATGATTAAAGGTTTCCCCTTTAATTTTGGCAAGCATGAGGTCCTACAGTATTTACAATAGTGCAATGGTAGCATTGCATCAGTAGCCTGCAGAGGCACTTTTAGGTAGCTCCCACTTTGAACATAGTATCACTGTATCAGTAGTGTAGTTTCAGTACTTCCCTTGTTACTAGTATTTTTTTCACTCTGACAACCGATAACTATAATTGAAAAATATGTTGTTGCCTACCCTCGATGTATATCAAACTTTGTTTTCATATCATAGAGACACACCTAGTAAGTTTTGGTTTTGTCCAGTTTCGGTACTGCCATCAAAATTGGTGAATGTCTATAATTTCTCCATGAGAATTAAACAGTGAACAAACTTGGATAAAGAACTATCAACTCTTTGGGTCCTCCATGTCTCATCAAAACTTTAATGCATTTGCACATGGTTAGATATATTCCATGTAAATTATAATCATATCACTGTCATCATGATACTTTTGTATGCTTACGATAATTCAATTTTTTCATTCCATTCCTATACTTAAGACATGATTAATAAATTAGTCATTACATTAAATTCGGTCATTTAATACAAGATAATTATATTAACTACTTGATGCTAACGCTTCATCCAATCTCATTTGTTTCTTTTCCAAACTAGTATATGAGAATAATTAAGGACGTAATGCATATTTAGTAATCTACAATTAATTTATGATGATCCCACACCATATATTTTTGTTAATTTTGTTTTTATTATCTCAATTATAGGATGATAGGTGTGGTATAAGTCTGAAATTTATCATGTGCAATATTGGAAGGCCTTGACCATGAAATGTCCAAAGTATTATGATGCAGGAAAAGATCAATATTGGTGGGGCTGAGATAATTTTGGTAGCTACCTAAGCGGTAAGCAGCAGCCAGTACCCGATTACAGAGCCCTTTTCTCTATCTCTGCTGTGGGCCTCCCTCAACCATACTTTTATTTTTATATCTCAATTATTACGTTATTTTTTTTTTTATCACTTGTGTAATTTTTGAATTGGCCGTGAATATAATTGATTCTAGTGAAATTGAATTTGTTAGAATCGATTTTAATATAATTGAGTTTATCAAGAATTGATTTATGTTTGAATATATTTATTTAAAAGTGAGTTGAACAATAAATTTCAGTTTAAAAATCATCCAGAATCAATTATGAAGAAACTACAAATTCTAACTTTAAGTAGAATCAATTCCGAGGACAAAATCAATTCTACTTTTAACAAACCAAACACCTCAAAATCAATTCTACAATTCTAAAATTGATTCTACCTGTTGTAGAAGTGAAACCAAACATACACTATGTAAATAAAATTCCACACATTTATTGGTTGTAAAACCATAGTGGATAATGTTAGTTTGACTATGTTTTTGTTCCTACCCGGTCAAGCCTCAAGGCATAGCTCAATGAAAATGGCATTGTCTATCTCGATCTTGAATGATGATTCAATAAAAAAAATGATCCACGAAGTCACAAGAGCATAAGAGAAATATATATGTGTTTAAAAGTGATGTCAGAAAGATAAGATAAGGAGATAAACATATGCCATTTAGGAAAAGATTTGAGGACCTAACAGACATAATCAAACCTATCATACATAAATTTCAATCCGAGTAAAGGGGGAGGAAGAAAATAAGGACCATCAGATAATACAATAAATCATATTTTGTCATCTGGAAATATGAACAATCCAGATGAAGACCAAAAGGAGAGAAACCCCAGAAAATCTACTATAAAAGGGGGGATGATATATACATCAAATAAGATACATACATGCACAGGCTCTAACGCACCCCACCTCCTCGCTTTTTATAAAGTTCCGAATGTGAATATGAGGTCATTTTTTCAAACGTCCAGTATCATGTCATTTCGTAGAGAAACTTCCTCTAAGGAAATAACATTTTTATTGGTCAATTTGTGTGGATCTTTTAGGGATATGTATGGTTCTCTTTTGGAGAATCAAAATTCCCTTTCAAAGAATAAAGATTCCTTTTCAAACATAAAAGGTTATATATGACTTTTGCAATTGTGACTTAATGTCGTTTATTCATCCTAGCTCGATAATATTATTGTATCTCTTCTTCACAAGACTATTTATAAGGGTGGCTTGTTCATCTATATGACAATGACATAATTTCGCGGCGCAAAAAATTATACCCGAGCATACGAACGATCGAAAATCAACAAGAGTCGTCACCAAAGTGTTTTTTAAAAGGAAAATATCGATAAAACCTCAAAAGAACAAAAATATTGTCAGCGCAACCAAATTTAAGTTCGAGAGTCAATTATGCGTGAGAAACATATTAACACTCCATATATCTGATGTATTAAACGAGAACCGTTTAATTAGTTTTGCGAATAAGAGTGTTAGTTTACGTTATTGAATTCTTCTAATTATTGCGGATTATTTACAAAAAGGAAACAAAGAGAGAAAATTAAGTTTTTTATTAGGGTGCTTAAGGAGACATTGAACCTCGCTTCTACGTATTTTCAGGTGCAATGGGGAACTTAAAGCTACGTAGTTCTTAGTAGAAAATGTTTGTTTGTAGGTTGATTTTAGTGAACGGTATTTATGTCGCATTCGAGCGGTTAAGTGTTGCTCACTTGTCGCGCATGGACGGTATGAAGCGTTTGCTTGCTTGTCGCGTCTGAATGGATAAAACACCACTTGTTTATAAAAATGATTGCATGTTACGCTAGGGAGGAACACGATTTGATTGGTTGGAGTTGTTTTTAGGTGGATGACGGGTATTCGAAAGACAAACTATACTACTCGTATTCGAATACTCGAGGAAGAAAAAGGCCTAAGCCCAACTAATCCTTTTCACCCGATTCTATGATAAAATATGTGAGGCCAATTGACTCAGGGTTCTTTAACGAAAGTCAAGCTATACGACTTGTATCTGAATACTCGAGAAAATAAGAGGCCTATACCCAATTAATCATTTTCACCCATGAAATAATGAACTAAATTCGATTGATTATTGTATTTTGAGACGGAAGACGAGCATTTGAAAGACAAACTATACGACTTATATCCAAATACTCGAGGGAAGAAAGAGGCCTACACCCAATTAATCCTTTTTCATCGAGAAAATATCTTTGGTTTAAGTTATGAAAAATAAACCTTATTTAATCGTGAAGAAGATTTTTGGTTTTATTTGCCTATTAACCAATTAAACAATTTATATAACTAAGAAAATTGATTTTAATTGACACGATAACTTGATTTTTATTGAAAAATAAATACAGTTATGTAATTCTCAATTTTTTTAAGCACGATCTGCGTCCAACGATTTTATGGAAGATGGTGGTCGGTTGTTTCTGATACGGTTCTGGCGGTCAGGATTATAGCTTCACATTCAATTTTCTACTTCTTCTTGATGTTTTTGTTCTGTTTGTGATGCAAAGTATTATTGTAAATTTGGTTATGTTTTTCCCTGTTCTTCTTTTTCTTGTGTTTCTTTTAATGTTACATGTTTGTTGTTGTGAGAAGGTTGTGGTTTAATTTTAATGGAGATTAATATTGTGTTGATGGGTTTGTTGTTGTGATGTTGTTGGATGTTACATAATTGAGGGAGGTTGAGGTGGATGGTTGAAGAGGGATTTATGGTTGGTGATAAATGATGAAGGTGAAGTAATGAAGGTAGGTGTTATGGTGATAAATAGGACTTTGTGAAGGTTTATATGTATGAGTTATTGATTTGGATGAAGATGATAGGAGGTTAGAGGTTTCAAAGTCAAAGATGAGAATGGAGGAGGAAGAATTTGGAGAGTAATGGATGATGGAGGAAGAAGGGGGAGAAGGTTTGGCTTGAATGGTGAATAAGATGAATGTTTGTGTTGATTGTTATGGAGAAAGCTTCGTAGAGATGAAGGTGTTTGAGGGAAGGAGGAGAGTATGATGGATAAAGAAGTTTTCAGATGTAAGAGTAATTTTTTTGTGTGAGCATTTTCCTTCTTTTAATGCTGATTTTTCTTTGCTTTTGTAGTGTAGAATTGTTAACTTTTATATCCACTTTTTATGGAAGATTTGGTTAGTGGAGGATCATGTGAGGTGTGAAGATATTTGTGAGTGGAGAGTGAGTGAAAGAGTGTGAATATGAGAGCAAAAATCGTGTTACTATTTGTTGTAAAAATTCATGCATGTGTAATGTATGGTAATGATGTATGTACATGATGTGTAATGGAATGAAGTTTTATCTTATTCAAGTTTTTGG